GAGGCTCAGATGCGTGACTCTAATGTCACATTAAGATGTAGGCAAATATCTCCATCTCTCTTAGATTTTAACCGAGGCTGAAGCCGCCTTTGGCACAGGTAGTGGTTGAGGATAGTGAAACAGGACCAGACAGAATCACCCCGAAAAGTCAGTGGGGGGGGGCGGGGGAGGTCTGTTTGCCTTAGAGTGGGAGTCACGCCGACTGACGTCATGCTAATCTGAGCTGGTCCAGCACCGAAGCTATAGCTGCGCCGATCGAAGACGGAATCATGCCACGATTATCACCTCCTGCTGTAACCTGCCTCCACGGCTGATGTTATTACCTACAAGTGGCGTGAACCAGGCACTGATCCCCGCAGCGCTGGCAGCAGACAGAGAGCAAAGACACTGTCCTGGATGAGGATCACTGTGGGGTTTTAAGAAGCTCAACATGCTTTCGATTTCACAGCTTAACTGCCAAAGAAAAACTTACAGTTATAGTTGCCAGATTTTCTTATGATCCCTCGCCCACGGAGGACTCTAAGGTACTAAGAAACGCACCAATCACATGGCTCTCTCTGTTATCGCCCATTTCATTAATAACACTCTGAACATGCATCCATGGATTTAAACAGCATAACGACACAGAGACCCAATTACTGAAGAGGGTTTCTGGAGTGACGTGGTTGTCAGGGAGGTGAGCTTTCACTTATTGCTTTTGAATCTTTGCATAATCTAGCTGGCAAATTTCATGTCAAGCTTATTAAAATGAGCATGTGGTAGATTCTGTTGCATTGTGGGGGGGGTGACAGAGACCCAGGGGTACTGAAGTGGGGGGACCAGCATTAGCATTCTGAGGAGCTTCAGCGCTAAGCGAGGCGTGCAACTTACATCCGACACAGGATGCCACATCAACAGATCTTCAGTTTTACTGGAACATTCTACATCCTCCTTAGTAACATGGAGGTCCATACATATAAATATGCCCATTTATTTGGACATGCCTGTCCAGTGGGAGACGGCCATCTATTCAGAGATACCTGCCCATTCTGAGATACCTGCCCATTCTGAGATACCTGTTCATTCTGAGATACCTGTTCATTCTGAGATACCTGTTCATTCTGAGATCTGTCTATTCTTTAATCAAATCAAGTGGATTTTATTGTCATTTAAGCCATATACAGTTGGTTCAGTACATAGTGAAACAAAACAACGTTCCCTCAGGACCATGGCGCTACATAAAACAAGACAGGACTACAAAAGCTACACAGAATGACATAAAGTGCATGTATGTGCAAACATTGCAGTACAGTGCAATAAGACAATACAGTGGCACTAGAGAGTGCAACACTGACCAGATTACAAAACAGCACCATTTGGGTCTGGAGAAGCTGATGCACGCTATTGACGTGCCGCCATCTTGGTGCAAGAAACCTGTCCATCCAGGGTCTAATGCCTCTCCAGCCCAGCTTTGCTGTTCAGTCACCAGTCAATGTCATGTCTGATTATTTTTAAGATGGAGAGCAGCTGGCTGTGGATGCCAGGCCCAAGAAACACAGCTGTAAGGCTGATTACTCTACAATAAACCCAGCTGGAGAATACGGAATGACAATGTAATTTAAAAACCATCGAAAACACAACAAAATAATGAAAGCAGACAAAGAAACAAGGACACTTACACTTGACAGATTCAAAGCGCAGTTAATTAGGTGCTAAAACCAAAACACAATTATCACTTCAATGTCATTGTAATTATGCCACACGGCCAGGGGTGGAGCAATTCACACAACATGGAAATCACATCAAGTGACATCCCAATGATGGCCAAACTCAGTCACATCAACTTGTCACCTTTCAACTGCTTTGACTTGAGTCTCAAAATGTGCAAAATGCGAAGTTCCTCAGCACCGCGGAGCTTCTGAAATGGGCTCACCTTCCATGCCATGGACACAGAACTGAAGTCCAGTACAAACATCCCAACTACTGTGACCTACTGATGAAATAGGACACCCAGCAGACTGTGCTTTGTCAAAAGGTGTAAAAAGATTAATGCGCGATGTGAAAAATGGGAAAACATGGAGATAACCTATTTTCCAATCAGCGAAGTGAAATAAAAACCCATGCCCTATATTTTCAGTCCTGTGGGATTCTCTTAAGGAACAGTAAGAGGAGGATGAGTGTAGCCAAGATTCAGCATCACAGCCTGGGGCCGTCCAGGACCTTGAAGGGAAAGGAGACTCGCAACTCTGCAATTCCATGCAAAAAGCCAGAGCGAACAAGGTTCTAAGTTGACTGTCTGGTGATGGGTATCGATCCTGACCCAAGAAATGCGATGCTACTGATGATGAGCATGAAAATGAGTGGAAACCCTTTAAATGGCTGAATGTATGAGCCCGTTTTTCTCCAGAAGCCTGCCATGTCAGCCCTTCCTCATGGATTATGCACAGTTAATCTAAGACTCTATCCAAGATTCCAAACTGAAACTCTTATTTTCTCTTCAGCCTCATTATTTGGACTTTATGGAGAGTTACATCCACCTTATGCTGTTTCTGCACCTTGGTATTTCTGTAGACACATTTACAGCATTTAGCAGATGCACTTATCCAGAGCAACTTCCATTTTTTCTAAATTCGGGGACAGTCCCCCTGAAGCACGTTGGGGTTAAGGGTCTTGCTCAGGGACTCAATGATGGCAGTACCAGAGGTGAGACTCAAATCCACAATCCTTTAGTCCACAGGCAAGCATCCTAACCACTAGACCACCAACACCCCACCTTAACAGGGGGACTTTATCTGCGCTCATATCACACAGAGACTCTAACCTTCAGCTCAAATGCACCATTGAATAGCCACACAGAAGTGTCCCACACAGCACAATTACCCAGAATCCTCTTGAACCTTACATATGACTGACCAAGATGCTTATCGATGCACTGAACAGGAGGAACCTTCTGGCTTCTGTGATAACGACCCACAGGCCTGATTCATTGGCAGTTGAATGGCAGGTCTGTACTGAGGGTTGTTAGAAATCGGCTGTATCGACCAGAGGCCGCTGCTGAGTGCCCAATGATTATCGACCCCCACCTCACAGGACTGACTGTGCTGCGGCTTAACGGTGGTGTTGGTACGACTTGGTGGTCAGATTCTTCCAGGCCTGAACTTCTCGCTCACGGAGCAACTACATGAAGAGGGATAAATGTTCGTCCGCAGCGGAAGAGATGTCATGCTGTCCTGATAGGTTTTAGTCTTGTGCTTAACTGATGGTGAAGCCAAAATGGCATGAGGACATCCCTACCCTACGGCGATTTTACTCGTTGGTCGTTGGTGCTTTCCTCTTCCCCAGACACGGTGTGGATGGCAAGTGCCCGTCTCTGTCTTTAAATCTCACTGGAGAGAGTGAAACACGGCCAATCATGCCTCAGCTTTGGGGGATCTCCCGTAGCGTGTTCACCTTGGACTCGCACTGACCAATCAGCAGGCAGGAGCCATCACCCTCTGATTGCAGGATGCTTCAGACAAACTGGGTTATGACTAAAAAAGAGCCGCACCTCTCTATGGACCAAGACAAAACTGAGCAAGCCTGTCAGGTTTTAAACAGTTTACGCATGGCGTAATGCGGCAGAAGCTGCCTGGTCAGGGTCGTGTTCTAAGAGAAAGCCAATCTCTCAAATACACTTTGAATATCCCAGGAAGAAGGACATCTGGGATTTGATGCAAGTCCCTCACCGAGAATCATGCACTCATACACATCACACCCACCTGTAGGGTAAATCACCCTACCCACGGAGAGGCCACACACACACACACACACACACACACACACACACACAGAGTTGTGTAATCATATAATTTTGGGGACTGCTCATTCATTTCTTTGGGAAAAATGCTAATGCTAACTATTACAAACTTAACCCCCACCCAGTCCTAACCATAACCATAAGTAACCAAGCAAAATACAACAGTTTTTGCATTTATAGTTTTTTCATTGTAGTCACGGATTTTTATAAAATAGAGTTTTCCCATATGGGGACCAGGAAACTAGTCCCCATTATGTAAAAAAAATGGGTATTCATCACGTTGTGGGGACATTTGGTCCCCACAAGGTAAGGTATACCTGGACCATACACGCATGGCCACGCACACACACACAAACACACACAGCAAGCCCTGGAAGTGTGACAGCTGCCACTAGTAATACCGGCAGGAGCTGGGGTGGTTTCCTTTGACAGTGTCAATGTCTGTGCACAGAGTATCGCTCATTAATGCCAATACTGCAGCTGTCTACTGCAGAAGTGGCACGTTTCATAACATCACTATCACTGTACAGCAGGCGCTTTCGGGTATGTCTTAGGGAAATGTTATTTTAGAATAAATGTCTGCCCGCATGTAATACCCAGCTTCATCACGGTGATTGTTACCTCCGTTAAGAAAGTTTGTACCCCTCCTGCGGGCGAAAAATCTGAAGCAGAGGACGGACTCAAGAATGCCATCATCCCGTCAATTAAAACGAAGGGGGGGGCAGAGGTATGTGCGCTCAGCTCTAATTAAAACCAAAATAATCCACAGCGATGCAGCTTGTGTAATGCCGCTGAAAGAGCCGACAGGCAGACACTGCAAACAGACAGACCGCAGACACGCACTGCAGGGAGATACAGCTCTGATTGATGAGCGTCCACTGCGGCTGAGTAGATGTATCAGTGGGGTCCAGTCCAGGCCTGGCCCAGTCCCAGCTACCAGCAGCAAGCACCACACAGCTGCTTGATAAAGGGTCGCAAAAAAAACCACAGGAGCTGCAGTTCAAGGACAGAGCGGCCTCTTTAAAAGGGAAACAATGCGGCGATTCTGCATGGTCTGGAACGGCGGCCACGTACCGTGGAGATCTGCAGCTCCAGCTCTGTGTGGTGACCTTCACTGGGGGTAAATGCTGTGGCAAGATGTATTTCAGTAATTGTTTATTATAACACATTTACATTTTAATTACAGATTCCATTTTTCCTGTTAAATAAATCACACAGAGTAAAATTGGTTTAGTAACAATATTTATTATAAAATGGTACTTTGTTACAGAAATAGTTATTCTCATACAGATTTCCAGACAATCAAATATATTTGAAGTACTTCCCGACATGCTTTATATGATTATTCACTGTTTCCAAAAGTACAACGTCGTATTCAGGATTTGGTGCAAAGAAAATATACTGAACAGAGCAACTGAACACTGACACAAAATAGAGAACAATTTTCAAATATCTGAAGGCATCGCACAATTCCAAGAATCCTGTGAGAGTTTAAGGCCATTTTGTTTTTTGAAGATACACTTCTCACAAAACAAACAAACAAACAAAAAAAACTGATGCATGTTCTTGTCAAAGTGCCCATGCAACACGTGAGTGTTATGTGAGAATATGGCAGGCAGACATTAAATCATTTGGATCTTCAGTAAACAAAGTCGACGTTCAGGTGCTGCACCAAAACGCAGTCGCCCCATTGGCTCACATGTGATCACATGTCACTGGGCTTGGCATCACAGGGAGAGTCACATGACACTGTAAGAAAACAGCATGTTTCTCCATAAAGAGCAGTAGCTCTGTTCATGCCAGTTCATGCAGGCAAACAATATCCAATATTACACTGAAAGACATCTCTGGTTCTCTTATGGTCAAAGTGTAAAAAAGTCACCTCAGGTGTGCTGCCTTTTTGCAAAAGTACTGAATGATGACATAATAATAAAATACTTTAAAATGGCATGTGTGTGTGTTTAAGACTGGTGGTGATCAATACCCAGATTTCTTATCTGAGTAGAAAGAGTGATGACTGAGACAGTGAGCTTCCAATCTTTCAGAGAGCTTCTCTCCCGATTACTAACTTCAACCCGTATTTAATTAAAAGAGTTTCATTAAAAGTCCTCAGTGGGATGACCTTCTTGCTCCTTGCATGGTTCCCAGAGGAAGTTCTTCCTGGAAACCAACCACCATCTCTTGATGTGTACTGTACATTGGTTTTCATGTAAAAGTACAACAATCCAGTTATGCCTGGCTCTAGTGAATGATGACGGTCACCGGACCGCAGTGACAGAGGACACTGTCCCTACTGCACTGCAGAGTGCACAGCTCTGAGTCCACTGGCCATTTTAATCAAACGCGCTGTTACAAATGTGAAATCACTATTCACTTCCTGTAGTTTTATCTGTTCAATTTTCCACCTCAGTGTTTTCGGGGCTAAGTGTTGCTGGACCTCAGGTGAGATTTCAAACTGTGCATAGATATATGAGGACCATGTCAATTTGCAGATCAACACGTCATACCACTGAAAATGTCCAAACAAAACTTCAGTTACCCATGCCTCGACATTTATGTTAAAAACGCGGTGCGCGAGCGTACGTTAACGAAAGCGTGTATGTCCCCACTTGGCGCCAGCCAGCCCGGTGGAAAATCACCCTCGTGTCAAGGCAGTTAAGAGAGCAGCTAACGAGCTTTCAGAAGGACGTAAGGAGGCCGTGAGGGCAGAGGACCCTGGCGACCGGCTGATTGCCACGGGGCCCGCCAAAGCGACACGCCGGCAGTGGAGATATCACAAACTTCAGCATTATAAAAGTATCCAACTTTAAAAATGCTCATCGACATGTAAACATTGAGAGAGAGAGGAAAAGCATTCCCAGAGTTATTTACAACAGTCGCAGGGTTGCAGGTGCTGTCTGGACGTTTTGGGCTCTCCCGCGGAGGCTTACAGGAGGACCTACGTCCAGCTCTGTGACAGAAGAACTCGAAAAGGAAGTAAACATGTCCACTGTTCCTCCCCCCATTCTGAGGGACACCATCTCCCAAGGATGGGAGACCCCAAAAATATGTGTAGGTGTGTGTGTGCACATGTGTGTTTGTGTGTGTGTGTGTGTGTGTGTGTGTGTGTGGCCGGACACGATCACCCATTAGATCTGAGTCTGCAGGGGGTGTCCTGGTGGGGTGTAAGGGGGGGGTGCGGGGGAGGGCTTGATCCCCCGGGTCTTCATGTAGGACAGGAACTGGTCGGGAATCTCCGCCAGCACATCCTTGGCCAGCCGGGCCATGCTGAGGACATGGTTCCCCGTCCGGTCGACGTAATCCCGGAATGGGACAAACTGCAGGAGAAAGAGAAGGGGTACAGGGTGAGGGGTCCCCTATGGGAGGTCCCTAAAGCCAGCGGCTCACCGAAGCCCAAGGGGCCGAGGGCGTGCCCACAGGCGGAGGCCAACAGGGACGAGCCCCATGCCCATCTTCACAGAGAGTGGATGTGGGCTTTAACTGCCTGACAGTATCACAGACCACCGCAGGCTGCCATGTGACTTAAACCTCACCGACTATTTTTTGTTGAGCACCGTGAGGAATCCCAGACATGCGGTGCAATGGACTTATGATGATAACAAGGCTGGTGTCTAACAGGCCACTTTAAGGTAATGATCCAGGTCCCATCATACACCTCCACCTTCTGTCCTAATGATGGCCACCCCCACCTCGTCTGTGTGCCCCACAACTCCCCCACCCCTCACCTCCCCATCTGTGTGCCCCCCATGCCCCACCTTGCCATCTGTATGACCCCAAATTCCCCCACCCTGTCTAAGTGCCCCCCTATCCCTCCATCTGTGCCCCAACTCATGCCCCACCTCGCCATCTGTGTGCCCCCCCAGTTCCTATGTGAAAGATGTGAAAAGATGCAGGAGATGGTAAGATGTTTATAGGAGGAGCCGCTGAGGCCCATTTGGCCTGGGGTTCAAGGTGCTGGTGTGTGTATCACAGCCCCCCCATTACAGGCATCGTCACTGACAGTGTACATTGCTACACTGTCACTGGCAGTTTACACTGTTACATTGTCACAGGCCGTTTACACTGTTACATTGTCACAGGCCATTTACACTGCTCCCTAAAATAACAAGTTGTCCACCATCTAGAGCAGAGCGTTAGTGCTAATGATTATCTATCCCCCAGCCCTGCTTTGAGCTCATGTTGCATCTGTTTTTCCCCCTGATTGCTGACAAACGGTGCTGGCTAACCCACAGCACTCTGTACTGCTCAATTACAGCGGCAGCAAAAATGTTTCAGAAGCTGGACCAAAGAGAGTCTCATTAGCTGACAGTCCAGTTTCTCAGGGCAAATTGTGTCAAAGATTAGAGGAGCTTTGATTTTTTTTCCTCAGTCTTTTTTTCCAGGCTGTATGCGACAGCTTCAAACCATGGCATTCGTCACAGCTCCTCGCTTAAAGTCTCCTACGGGAAACCTGGCCAGACAGATGTCTCACCTGAACAATGTCCCTCTCTGCGTATCTTCCTCTCGACGACACCCTGACTTCATCTCCGTCCAGCTCCACCATGGCTATAAGGAAGCAAAGATCGTGTTTCACTAATAATGGGTGACAGGTGTGGAAAATCGCAAAGATAATCATTCCCACAGTAATGATCCCTGTGTCTAACGTTAATATATCTGGGCGTGTCCTGTAAAACACACATATTCTACTAAAGGCAAATGTACTCAATGTGATATATACAACCATGCCAGCATCATAAAGACTTTATAATACAGCTTTTATCATTTAATTGCCTGCAGGACTGATTCTGCTTATTAGACAGATAATTGCAAGCTGAGCCAGTACTCTGAGTAAGTACTCTTCAAGCATAGAGGGGAAGAGGCTGGATTTATGAGCCACAGGGCATCTAATTATGAAAAATACTGCAGCACAACTCAGACAGTCAATACAGACAAACAGTGAGGGAGAGGCACTGGGAGCAGGTTTCTGGACAGCAAGGAGGAGAGAGATACAGGACGCAGGACTAGGGCACTTATGAAGTAGCAAGTTCCACAAAGCCACTCTGAGCCCCAACCATATGCAGCCTTACCGTCGAATTCTGCTGGTCCAACTCCAACAATGATGAGGGACATTGGCAGGGAGGCAGCCTGTGGACAAGGGGGGACAGAGGGACACCGTGTGCTCAGTGAGGACAGCATAGACCGTATCGCCGGAACAGGTCTGTACTGCCCCCTACAGGGCGGAGTCTGTGCTTGCAGGTTGGCACGAGCTAAGCCTCCTAACGCTTTATTAATGACGTCTGCCTCTGGATGTGGGACAGCGACTGCCCTCGCACCCTCACACTTCATTTTGCAAACTGCACTTTACGGGAGGCTGCCAAAAGGTGGGTGAATGATGAACGAGCTCATCACGACGTGCTCTGCAGATCTTCCTCGAAGAACGTGGACAGCTGGCCTTCTTCAAGCATCCCAGGTTCTGCCAGAGGCCTGCTCTCTGACCCGAGTCACTATCAGGTACCCCAATGCGTTCCAGTATTTTACTCATGCATTGCACGTGTGTACGCTGATACTCATACGCAAGTCAGGGATCTACTCTCCGGACAGGAGAAGCGACAGCTTTAAACGTGCTGGAGAAGGTTTTCCTTCAGATACCATGCATGTCACAAAGGTTGAGCCCTCATAACTCTCTAACCGCAAGCATCCTGTTGAGAAAACAGCCATGAACATATGTGATTTTAAAGAGAAGAACCTCATACATTGACGATGGCCTCCTTGGCCTGCGCCATGTCTGAGATGACTCCGTCCGTGATGATGAGGAGCACGAAGTACTGGGAGCCATCTTTCACGGATGCTGCATACCTGGGAGGGTGGGAGAGAAACACAGGCTCATCCGACAGCATTTACAGCCGCAAATGGGCCACCCGGAACCCTACACCGCTTTGCACTTCACTGACATCGCGAGCTGTCATCGCCGTCCACTTAAATGCTTGTGAAATTTAAAGCGATGCTCCCGCTGCTTACAGGACTGAGATGATTCTGCCTGCACTGCCAGGCTGAAGCCTGTTAAAAAGGAGCGAAGGACTGATCACTGCTGAGTGAACATCTCTCCACCTTATATGTACATGGCCATGGACTCTTGACATCACCAGGAAGCAGGTGAGATGGTGCTCTCCCAAGGTGAGAAACATATTAACCTACAACGCGAGGGGAATGCAAACATCCTCATCAACAAGGACAACGCAGCAGAGAGCTCCTGAGTGTGGTCTACTCATGATATTGGATGATCCTGACGACCTCACAAGTCGAACACTAGCAGTAAAAGATTTAGGAGGAACTACGCCTGGGGGACCATCGAGCTAAAGTCAGAGTAACATTCAGAAGAAAGAGACGGGACTGGCACTGCCTGCAATGTGGATGCCGCTAGGGAAGGTCCAAACGGCTTTGAGGACCCAGCTGTCTGGTGAATGTGTCAGCTTGTTATGGTCTGGCCTTCTGTGAGAACAATGCTGGCTGGGAACATGGGGGATGGGACGTTTGCTGAAGATACGGTCGTCATGATGTCAGCAGTGGGTTAGTCAGTGGGTATGAAGGTGTGTTGACACATGAGGCGGCTGTTAGAGTAGGCGGATGGGGGCTCGCGGGGTGACTGCAGCTATGCTGAGACGCCCCGCCCCCGAGACGTCTGACCATGCGACTGCTTCTCTTTCCTCTGTTCTGGTGTGGCCTGGTCTTCAGCCACACTGACATCACCGCATCTCTAAGCGTGAAGCCTGCTGGAGCCCCCAGCAGCTACACAAGCTCCACCCACATCCAGCAGCTCTGCCCACTGTCACATGACAGGAACCCATCGGGCCAAGTGACAAGATGAATGGCTGTGCATCTATGTCATGTGTAACAAACTAATACTACTTCTTTCACAATTTATTCCAGGCTGAGATGACTGGGATTCTGCTCATTTGTAATTGTGCAATTTACAATTTGTTACACCGAACTAAGTTCATGACTAATAAAGCTTTGGGGGGGAGGCTTGAGGGACACATTTCCAGGCAACTGACGTCTCACGATCTAAAGGGTGATCATCCTCGAGGATACAGGCCAGAAGACCATCTGCTTCAGTGTGTAATGAGGGCACCCAATGTGATCCCCGTCCTGGAGAACAGCAACACCCTGATCTGCTCCGCTTGGCACCATGCCTGCGGGTGCAGTCTTTCCAATAACGCCATGTGGCATGCCCCCCCCCCCATATAGACCCCCCAAGGGAAAAAGAGCACCAGGCAGGATGGACGGCATGCTCTGAGGGTCAGTAAGCTTCATCCTCTCTAACTCCCTCCAGACCTGGGGAAGGTCCCGCTGTCTCGCTCCACTGATCTGCTCTGTATGGATGTGATGACAGAAAAGCTCCCACCGGACTTGAACTGAAGTGTTTGGAGGTCAGAGGTCAGAGGTTGGAGGTGATTGCCCAGGGTCACCCCACCTACCTGGCAACGTGGTTGATGACAGGGGAGAAGTTTGTGGGCCCGTACAGCTGCACGGACTTTAAGCTCTGGTAGTACGCCTCCATGACCCCGTTGATGCCGTTGCAGTAGGGGTTCTGGGGGTTCCCATTCTGCGGAACAGTGCACAGATCACAGAGGTGGCAGCTTAGGGTTAGAGTTAGGCTGTATGTTAGGCAGACAGCGCATTGCACACATTGGACGCTCCAGTGACTTTGCTCAGCGCATTAGTGTTTAAATGATTCCTCAGGCTCACCTAGGACCCTGGCTTGCCTTAAAGGGGCAGGGCAGGACCCTGTTGGCCTTAAAGGGGAAATGCAGGTCCATGGTTCATGCTGGCCTTAAAGGGGTAGTGCAGAACCCTGTTAACCTTAGAGAGGAAGAGTAAGACTCCACTGGCTTTGAAGTCGCAGCACAGGACCCCGCCGGTATTACAGGGGCAGAGCAGAACCCCTCTGGACTTTAACGGGCCAAATAGGACCCAGCCAGCCTTAAAGGGGCAGTGCAGGACCCCACCACCTTTAAAGGGTCAGCTCCTGCGGCCCTGCGCTATGTACGGCTTTGGGTCTGTTGTCAGTAAAAAACACGGGGAGCAATGTGTGAGAAACCACTTGTAATTGTCGAGGGCTGGCAAGAGCACGAGAACAACAGAGAACCCATAAAAAGAGCAGCAGGACAAGCAGGGCTGGGGAAGAAGATGAGGGCAGTGTGAATATTTCATTAAAATGCTCCCTTAAAAGGGGTGGTGCTGCTCACACCAAAATAGCGGACAGCATAAAATCTAGAATTGCACTCAGCTGTGTACTCAGTGCCCCAATAAAATGATTTCCTACAAGGAAGGCCATAATAAGTAATTACTCTCGTAATGAACCGCATGGCATGTGGTGAGTCATCTCAGGTTGGGGTATTATGGGATGTCATGGAATTATATAGACAGACAAACCTCCCTCACGCAATTCCTGCAAGTCAGTCTCACTGGTGAAAGTAAACTACTGAGAGACACACAAGCAGGCGTGATGAGCTCACACTCCCAAATCCAAGATCTGCCGCAACAGGAAGGAGGCCCGTTTTAACGAGACGACAGCCATCGCTGCTCACATCCACATCCGGACCCTGAGTTGGCCATGCATGGGAAGGAAGCAGTGACACCCCAGATCTGGACCAGATTCTGCCCAGAGGATTGTGGGTAGGAGTGCTGGCTCACCAGGGCGAACTCGTGGGAGACCCTGCCATCAGGAGGAAGCTTGGCACCGAAGCCCAGCGCGGGAAACATCTTGTCGCTGTCGTAGTCCTGGATGATTTCACCCACGGCCTTGAGCGCCATGCCGTAGGCGTTCAAGTGATACGGGCTCATGTAGTGTAGGGAGGTGGGCTGGGCCGGGTTCCCTGCACCGCAAAGAGACAGAGTGGTGTCAGCTGTCTGCTGGACCTCATCTTCACAGTTAAGGCATCACCCCTCCTGACATGATATGATCTGAGAAACAGGCATCAGCCACCAGGATCCAGGCTGAGCTGCCTTCTCCTGCTGACCCATTACGGTTAAAGCGGGGATAAACAAAATCCAAGCGTGAAACGGCGATTAACGCTCCATTTTCAGCGTGAGGCTGTTATCTCACCACCAGGGTAAAGCCATCCTCATAAAGCAGGATAACAGGACGGCAACTCAATTACACCCCCAGTTCCTGTAATGCCTTCCACCTAATTATGGAGAATGATGGTAATAACATTACTGGCTGTGCACAATCTAATAAAGTCTGACTGAATATTACCCTTACTGTATGCACTTGAACCTTGGGGGCTGGTGGGAGGGCACTGCAGAAAGCAGGTCTAGTCACTGTCATAATCACCATATGCATTATATGATGCTTTTTATTGTGCTATATTCTTGTACAGGGGTGATAATAAAGGACCTGGAGCTGCTTGTGCAGTTATCTTATTGGTCCTCAGACCACTGATGGTTATCTTACAGATAAGCATCATACTCACCATTAGATGCTGTGAAGTCAATGGCCACGGTGAAATTGATCTGCGTCCTGAAACAAAGGAGAAACATCCTTCAAGATGTGCCAGACAAACAGAGAAATTAGTTAATGACATGCTGAAATACAGGCACAACGAAGGAGAGACTGAACGACATGCTGAAATACAGGCACAACGAAGGAGAGACTGAACGACATGCTGAAATACNCGAAGGAGAGACTGAACGACATGCTGAAATACAGGCACAACGAAGGAGTGAGTGAACGATATGGCTAAATAAAGACAAAACAAAGGAGCGGGTGAAGGACAAGCTGAGGTGCAGAAAAAAGGAGTGAATGACATGCTGAAATGCAGACAAAACAGAGTGAATGACACTGGAATAAATACAAAATGGAGTGAGTGAACGACATGCTGAAATGCATGAAAAAGGAGTGAATGACAGGCTGAAATGCAGACAAAACAAAGGAGTGAATGACACTGAAATGAATACAAAATGGAGTGAACGACATGCTGAAAAACAGACAAAACGAAGGAGTGAACATAAAATAAGAGCCAGCTACACCTCTCTCTTGCTCTGTCTCAAGTTCACTTTCTATCTCTCAGTAATCCCTGCAGTTAAGATGACAGCAGACCAGGAGGGATTTTACCATCCAGTTAATAGATAAGGGTTGGGGGGAGGGGCCCTGGAGAGGGGGAGGGAGGAGCGGATGCTGGGATTTCCATGGGAGCCCCCACACTCATGTCTCAGTAGAGTCAAGACAGATCTTCATGGATGAAGGAATATTTTCCTTACACATGATACAATGGTACTCCAGCCCGAAGGGCACACGGATACAGAAGAGAGCGATTTAACATCAAGTCAAGATGACCCTGTGTACATCATAAAAACAGACAGAAACTCTATGTGGACTTTTGCTAGCTGTGAAATGCCTCACTGCCTCGTTCATGGACAGGACTGACTTGATGACTATAGCAAAATCTGTAACGAGAAGCGGCCAAGGAGGAAGGGAGTTTAATCATCTGATAGAGTGATGGAGATGCAAAACCTACAAGGCCAGGCCATATACAGCCGAGCAAACTGCCAATACACAGAGTCGTGTCCCTGATTGACAGATCCGCAGCGAGAGGCAGCAGAACGAAGACCCTCATCAGTGCCAAGGGACCTCCAAGATGGTGGGCAGCCCACGTGCTCCACTCAGCGGCACACCATGGAAAGCCCGACCTTTATTGGAACACAGTGCTTTGACGAAGAGAAATCAAATAAAAACTCAGGATCGATGGCCCGTGGTCTAATGGCAGGTCTTTATCAGCTGCTGGTGGGTCCATTCGGGTGCTCAGGAAGCACAAACACTATTATGCTTTATTTTTAGACTGGCAAATATGTGCACTGGCTGAAGCAGAAAGTGTAAACAGAACAAGGACAGACAGACAGACCTACAGAGCAGGGATCTCACCATCTGCCTGTGAGCCACCTTCCCTCCCACCACTTCATTTATCCATACATTTGTCTCCAAGGTGAGGGAATTCAGTTGATGGCCAAATTGAAAGGGGGGAGACCTTATAGTTCACAGTAATGATACTGTAATTCCAGATCTATTCTCTGAGGCGGAATAACAGCTTGTCCAATTTGCACTCAGAAGTGAGTTTTTCATCTGAAAATACAACAGTCCAGTGTGTATCTCAAGAGGAAGGTCTGGGCTGAGCTCTGTGTTTCACCAACACTGGATCCCGGACAGCTGAGGCCCGATGATCGCTGTGATCTCCTCAGGGTTGGGTAAGGGGCACTCTGGGACTGTAAGGATCCAGACAGAGCAAAATCACACCTGGCATAAGGAAAGCCAGTACGGATGGGGCCTAAAGCACAGCACATGGGGGCTGATGAAAAATCTTGTAGTCTTGGGCGTGCAACATTTTGTAGTGTTCTGAAGCAGGCCACCAAAAGCATCATTTATCACTGGATGGTTCTTCTCTGGAAAAGGCCCACCATTGTCCTGGGAAAAGGCCCACCATTGTCCTGGGAAACGGCTCACGATTGTTTTTACAAAAGGCTACTATCGTCCATGGAAACAATTGCTTCACTCTTGTAGCCCTTTACTCCGGTGGTACTTTTAACTTTCCAACCACAACCAAAGTCAAGCCCTGCTGAACGGAAAATTGAGCTGCTGATAACCGTTGCAACTTAGTCAGAAGGATTTTAGGAAGATCAGCTAGCCAGGAAGATGTGAACCTCTAAGCATGGAGTCACAAGTCCAGCACCTTCCATGCCTCATGACATCATCCAAATAGATCAATAACTCATAGAGAAATTTCGGCACTTAAAAATGTCAAAACTTAATGGGGTTTAATTTTCTGGAAAACATCCAAGGTGTGTTATTTTCAGCTTTATCCCCAGGAAGAAAACAGAGAGGGGGCTGTAGGTGACCAGCGAATTCTCGTCTCGACTGCAGTCACTTTAGGTGTTTTTCTGGTTCTGTGATGAAATGTGCTGCTCAGAAAGTGTGTCTGAATATCAGTTGTCACTGCAAGGGAACCAGTAACCACGACAGGTGCAGAAGAACCCAACCCCTTAAAGACCTGCACTGTAAAACTGATTTTGTGACATCAGCTACTCTACACCAGTTTTGCAAAAGGTTTCATCCAAGCTAAGGACTATTCAGAAAACACTCTTTGTTCCTGCCCTAGTTCTCCACACAGGATCACCACACGTGTTAACAAAGGCTCTCCCAGTGACTCAGCTACCTTCACACAATATCCTTCACAGAAATACCCTGACTTAACAGTACACATATACAGTAAGTACAAACTCCATCCAATGAGCACAAACACACGCCTCTTTATCATGCGACAAGAGGTCAAATGGCTCACCGGTACATGTCAACACACATGGCAGCTTCAGGTGGCACTAATGATCACATGACGGTTAGTAACTGGTAACTATAAACAACACGGCCAATGAGTTATGCAAGGGGCTGACAGAAAAACAACAGAATCGTCCCACAGGAGTGTGTTTACACAGTTTCAGGGAGTTGTAAATCCCAGGGATTCTAGAAAAATCCCCCATATTTACATGACTCTGCCGTTAACCTCCAGCAAGGCACTCTGAGTGTTAGAAGAAGCCAGGGTAAGGCATTTGCTAAGGGAGCAACAGATATGACAAAAACATCAAATAATAAACACAGTTAATCTCTGTCTCCCAGGAGTTTTTTATGCATTACAAAGCCTTTTTCCACAGCATTAGCATGACTCTGAAGGAAGCTGCACGCTCATCTATATTTCATGAATCCGGCAAGGCAGTAAAAACGCCCGAGGAGGTAGAGCAGCAGCACTTAGGCGCCGTGGCGTTACTGTGCCGGCAGGGAGCCTCCGAGAACGAGCCCCGCCCACACACGGCCCTCGCTTCAGAGACGAACAGCTGAACTCGTCCGTTTAGCGTGCTAATTACCAGCGGCGGACCAAGACTCTAAATATAAACCCCAATCGAGTTCAGCGGAGCCACCCGTTTCCTCCTGTGACAAATCGACAGGAATGCACTGGGCTTGTTCATTCACCGCAGTAATTAACATGCACACAAGGGGACCTGCAGGACATGGGCAGCATTCCAGCTCAGCCAGGCTGCCACTCAGCTCCTCCAGCTGGGACGTCGGGAGGCGACCGGAGGGTTAGACAAGGCCGGCTTGTGGGGATGCTGCATGCACACCTCTGCTTGAGAAACCTAACTTCCTGACATACATTCATCTACTGAAAGGCCATACTGACTCACCAATAACATGGCACACAAATTACGGCTTCCATTCCGGCCACAACAAAGAAACTCATATAACCAGAGACGGACAGAAAGTGCCCTAAATCTTCAAGGTGCTTCTAACGCTGTTCATCACTATCTTCTGCTTGCGGTGTCTCCCTGTTCAAGTGATTTTCCTCTTGCTCAAATAATCATTATCATCACATTCAGACGTATACCAACTGCACTACCTCATTATCATGGGTCAGATATGGAGTTCCTCAGGGACCAGTGCTGGGACCAGTGCTTGTTTCACTCTATATCTGCTCCTTCTTTCAATTCACAGGATTCATATATCATACTGTCAGTTGTGCTGCCAGTAAACCTTTCAGCTACTGGACTCTGGGTCTGTAGGTTCTGCCCCCTCAGTCATGTAAGTCATCCACACTGAAGACTGACCATTTCATGCCTTAGGCGAGTCTACATAATGCTGCTGCATGTCTTATTCCTAATTAAGGCCGCAGCTGATCTTGAGACAGTATGTCTATCATGTATCAGATATTGTGGGCATCTTCTATTCCATGCTTGGGTCCCCCACAATGCCTGAAACTTTAAACTAGCACAGATGTGGCATCACTGGCTGCCCTAACAGTGGTGCTAAAGGAAGGCCATCAGTTAAAATTCCTTTCAACACATATCCTAAGGCTGACACAAAAGGCCCTGTCCTGAGGTTGGGAATCTGATCCATGGAGGGCCGATGTGGGTGCAGGTTTTTGGGATGACCTCTCGATCAGCCAATAACAGTGGGTCCCCAGGACTATAGTTGAGAACCACTGCTGATTGGCTGATCGAGAGGTCTTCCCAAAAAAACGCACCCACATTGGCCCTCTATGGAACAGGTTCCCCACCCCTAGGCTGTGGGATTGCTTTGGTCTTTTTACTCAGATTTTACTTCCTGGAAACAAATCCCTGCTGTTATATATGTCTATGATGATTCTCTTGTGGCTAAATATTGTGAGTTGGTGACCATTTAAAACAGAATGGAATTGATCTGACATGTTGGTTTTACTTCACTTACCCGCCTTTGATGTAGTCGAGAAAAGTGACTTCGGTATCGACAAGGAAAGACAGCAGAGTTACCTGTTGGGGAGATGCTGTTTTACAAAGGAACCATTCTGGGAAAATGACCTTTGAAAAATATTCCTCCGCCTCCTCAAATGTTTTTTGGAGGCTTTGTGCCTGACTGAATTTTTCACAGTTGGTCTTAATAAATAAAAGTTTTCCCTGTCACACACAAACATGCACGCCAAGGCTTTGTGATGTTCAATCCCACAGACAGAGTCGACTGCTCATTAAATATCAAGCCAGAAGCCTGAGGTCTCACACTGACGACTATGCTAATGATCAGTGTGGTGTGAAGCTCATGAGCTCTGTAACCCTCAACACGGCTGAAATGCATTGGGGGATCATTAAGGACATTCAAACGCATTCAAATGTGCAGTAAGAGGACATACATCCTTTGGAGCAGTGAAGACAAAACATCATTATGAATGCAAACCTGTTTTAGTATTTATGATGATACCGTTTTACATGTTTATGCCTAGTGAAACCAAGGACCTACAGAGTATAACAATTCAATCATTGGTACTGTAATACTCACCGTTCCTGAATTTATGTATTTTTTCTTCTTTGCCTTTTTCTTTGGATTAATAACCTATAGAAACACCATTTTTGATTATTATTCTTATCCTTTGCTACACAGATTAACTAATGACGCAAACATATTTGTGAACATTACTTGTTGCAGATTAATTCCACAAGGCATCATGAGAACAACCCCTCCGATATCATGAGCCTGAACTAAGGTATTACCTCACATTTTGGGCTCTTAGTTGAATTTCTCTGAAAGTCCTGTTACCCCCTAAAGGTCTTTTCTTTCCACATCATCTGGCTGTCCTCCTACATGGTCTACAAAATCTGTGAGTCGCGACGCTAGTCTTTCAAGATTACGGTCCTCACATCATTAATGAGAATTTAAAGGGCAACATTATGCATGACATGTGGTTATCGAGGACATGTGTATCGACTCCAGGATAAGAATCGCAGTCCGTGATCATGAAGTTAAAAGGCCAGCTCAGAGAATCTCACATATGGTCTTGGATGTGTGTGACAAACAAGGAGATCAGACATGTACATATACAAACACACACGGTTCATATATTCCTATCATTGTCTGTACGCTCCAATCATTTCTATGGGCATAACCCTAATCCCAATTACCCCTACCCAGCCCTAACCATAAATAACCAAAGAAAATGCAAGACTTTTGGCTATTTTAGCCTTTTTGATTGTAGTCGCACAATTTTGCAAAACTGAGGTTCATGCTGTGGGGCTCTGAAAAATTTCCCCACAAGCTAAAAAGTTAAAAGTTCCACCCTGTGGGGACCAAATGTCAATACAAACCCACACACACATTTATACGGCACACTGT